GATTAACTGAATCTTATATTCCGATATGATACCTTTCCTCCGCTTACATAATAGCTTTTTTCTTATGATTACTGCCTTCTATATGCACAAATTTTTGCTCGCTGCATTGTGGCATGTAAATTGGCATGTGACAACCCTCTATCAATAGGTATGTGATACACCTTCTTAGTGCAGCTGACTCCCTCTATACTCTATAACTCAATCATCGCTTCTCTATTTGGGACAGTAGTGTTCAGACATATAGCTAACTGCTACTTTGTACTTTATTTTTCATGAGTTCTGAGCTTGGGTTTCTTACACCTTCATTCAGTTTCTTTTTTCTTTTCTTGAATTTCCTGTTTTAATCTCCAAGAAAGTTTAACCGTAAATTGTGTGGCCCACTGTTTTTAAACATGAATTTTTATTTTACTATTACCATAACTTCAACTGTTGCCAATAGCGCAGCTCTACAACCTGCTGTTACTACAGCTCCAGGCACAATTTATCTGTAGAGGAAGTTTTGGCTCTTGTTTGCTGTGAATTTGAGTCTTTCATGTGGCTGAAAGCTCTGAACTTCAACCAGTTCTCCCATTCCTGGGGGAAGCTAGTCAGAATGATGAGCATTTTGATAGCCTTTTCTCTCTCCTCTTTCCTTTTCTGTGCAATCTCAGTCTATGCCTTTAGACATAGATTGGCCTTCATCTGTTTTCGTGAATGTGGTGACACAGGTTTATTAATTTTGTCATTATCCCCAATGTCTTTTGATCCCTCCCCTCCCCTTCAAGGGTGTGATCAAATCCATTGGTCACCCTACTTTGTGGTTCTATTCCCAGTTGTTCATCATCTCCTAGAAGACCAGAGACTGATATTCATATTCTCATTTCCCCGGCACCCCATCATTACCTTTGCTTTCCTCACAAGGGCTGAGTCTAACAATTATTTGACCTTCTATTTGGTCTCTCCTCAGCTCTTACATTTTCTGTCAGGTGGTCAAGGTTTTTGCCCATCTATTAAATTCTTCTGGTGTGCAGTTCCATCATTATATGGACAACTGGTTGCTTTTAACACCTTTGCTAAAAGCTTTGTATGGCCACACACAGTTTCTTCTCAAAGGAGCTCCTCATCTGGGTTGGTTTGTCAAGGTGGAGAAATTCACTCTTATCTTGACCCAATACTTTATCTACCTTGGACTTTTTACAACTCCCATCTCATTCAGGCCTAGCCTTCTCCCTTTTGGCTGTGTTCTATGGAGCTATTGGTTCTGAAGGCTCCATCCTTTCCTTCACATACCTGCTTTCAAGGTTCTATCCCTTTTGGGGACATGGGCTTCCATGGAAGCCCTAACTCCTCTGGGTTGTGCTCACATGAGAGCACTCCAATGGAATTTGCAAGATCAAGGGAATTTTGCTAGAGATCCCCTGGATTCCTCTGTCCTCTTCCCTCTCTTCAAGTCAATTTTGCCCGATGGCTCAACAGATATAACACCTCAGCTGGAGTCCCTCTTCTGACTGGTTCTCTGGTTGTTGGTCTTTGGGTTGAGTCAGGATCCCATATCAATCTACTGGAATTCCTTGCAGTAGATTGGGCTTTGGATGATTTCTTTCCAGTTTTGTGAGGCAAGTTTTGTGATCCATTCCAACAATTTGACATTGTTGAAATGGTGTATTTAAGTGTTTTACACTCACAAAAAGAAACCTATCATTCTATAGGTATTTGAAGAACTTGTAGCATTCTGCCACAATTTAATTCTTCGAATTGTTAGCCGTATTGTTTGACGTTGTCTCTTATGTCAATTGACAAGGGGGTACCCATTTATGTTCCCTTTGTTTTCAAACATTAGATCTCATTTTCTGGGCCCATACTTAACATGTTTACCTCATGGCTTGTCATGTTCTGTGTGTTCTCAATCTTGTTGCAGATAGTTTAATTCCTCCTAACAACATTCTTCCCATGGAGTGGTCCATCAATCCTCAGGTCTTTCTGTCTGTGTTCCAATTGGGGTACTCCTCTGTACTGGTCTTTGTTTCTACATCTTTCAACTTTGGTGGTTGATGCCTTCAGTCAGGATTGGACCAACCTTTACCTTTGTCTACCCTCCTATCTGTCTCTTTCTAAGTTTTGTCCATTATCCAAACTAATCTGTGTTCTGGCCTGCTCAACCATGGTTCCCATTACTTCAACTGCTTCAGTCATAATCTCCTTTACCTCTTCCTATATCCTTGTTCCTCCTCCATCAATCTCATGCATCCGTGTTTCACCCTGCTGTTCCCACACTCAAGCTTCTTGCGTGACTTTTGTCTGGTCCCTTTCAAAGTGGTCTGGATTCTCTACATGTCTATCATCCATTATTTCCAATTGGGTCCACACTTCTTTGTTGATTTATCAGAGGAAATAGCAAATTATATGCCATTGATCTTTATGATAAGGTTTCCTTCCCTCCCACCCCATTATCCCTCTTCTTTCCAGTTTCTTCACATGACTGTTTGACAATGGTCTCTTTGTATTAACTGTTGCAGGCTATAGGACAGCCTTGTCCTCTACCTTTTGTTTTTACTTTTTCTGCTGTGTATTTGCCTCTCCTGTTTTCTCCCTTTTGTTTTGATTCTTTTATATCTCCTCTGTCCTCTATGCCTCACTTGCTTACCAAATTGGAATCTTAATGTTGTTCTGTTTTTCCTTACTCTTCCATTATTCAAACCATTCTCTTCCTGTGCCCTATGTTCTGCTTCTTTTGGCCTGTGGTAATTGTCAGTCAGATGTGTTTGCCCTTGATGTATCTTGTATCCTATACCACAGTATTAATGTTCTCCTTTATCTCAATTGCTCCTTCCTACCCAAGACCTCAACGACTCATGAGAGTAGTTTTGCTTTCATGCTGATTTCTGTATCTTCCACTTCCCATTTACATTCCCGTTCTGATCCAGATCACCTCCTTTATCCCATCTAGGCTATCAGGTGTTATGTGGCATGCATAGCTTCTTCCGTGGTTCCCCTTCCTGTCTCTTTATACACTGGAATCTTTCTTCCTTTCTTGCCTCTGGTTCGTGTCATCTTTTCCAAGTCTCCTTTCACAAGATCTGGCTGCTCATTTCCATTGACCATTGCAGGAGATCATCCATGCTGGCATGGGGATCATGCCACACACTTTTGTCATCCATTATCTACATCATTTGGGCATCTCCTCATCTGGATACTGTCTGCCCCCTGTAGCTCTCATGTGCCCCTCAGTTCGACTACAATTTGTTAAGTATTTTCTTTTCATTTCCTTTTAACTTACAGTATGTAGATGTCAGTTCCCAAGGGTCTGGTTCTGGATGCGAGTTGGACCAACCATCAAAACTGTACTGTATGATCTTTAAGGCTTATAGCCCCCACCATAGAGATGTAGTGTTCTGTAAGACAGCTGTAGGTTCATCCTTGTGGTATAGTGCATCATGAATATGCCCATCCCAGACTGTACAGACTCATGGACATCCCTGAGTAAAGCAGGGAGGGGATTGCTGCATGTCACTCCATTTCTGGTTGAATACTTCAGGTTCAACCTGCTTTTCAAAATAGGGTTCTGCAGTCACTCATTGCACTTCCTCCAATGATGCATTCCTCTGGACTCCCCACTGTACTATTCCCTATTCTTCTAGTAGAGTTTTTACCACTTACAGATAGTTTTTAGTGTAATTTCTAATTATAGGTAGTTTGCTACTGCATATTGTAATAGTGAAAAAAAAAAGTTCAGTAATCTCTCTCTCTGTCTCTCTTTTTTTTTTTTTTCTCTCAAATAGAAATTATTACTTACAAAAATATTTTATGAATCGTAATGGCAAAGTTTTAAGCTTAGGTGAAAATATGACATATCCTGATACCCTGGGTTTGAGAAAAAAAATGTTCAAAGGACAAGAAATTTACTTCAATTCATTAAATAATTTCCTTATGAGTAGAGGAAATTGTTGATCCTTTGGGCCAAACATTTGGTTACGTCATGTGGAGGGATAACTTTTCTTCAGTAGTAGAGCCAGTTTGATTTCCTACAAACAAATTTTCTCCCCAAAAAATGCAATGCCAAAAATATTAGCAGACAGATTGAAGTTACTTTCCAGTTGCAGTGCAAAAAAGTGTAAAAACATCATGGTCTGAAAATCACACAAGTTATCCTTTTTTGCAACAATTTCATTTTTTGTTTTTTCCAATTGTAAAATTAATCCTCATGAGGATTTAAATTGACATTTGCTTTTGCTGCAGTAGTCTAAGCATTAATCAACCATATTACCAATAACATGAGTAAAAGAATATGAGGAAATTCTGGTTAAAAAAATTTCAATATAAGGAACTTTGCAACATTTTCACTCGTGGTTGTATCAAAGTTGACATTTTAACATACATTGCACTGATGTTTAAATATAGCATTGTTATTATTGTGTTATGAAATTGATAAAAAATTTAATAGTTTGGACATGTGATTCCAGTCTCAGTATAATGATAACAATAAGCTTATCAAAATATTTTGTCTTAAAGTGTTGTATGAAATGTGTAATCTTGGACTTGGTGATCTAATATGTTCAACTGCTATACCTTCTAAACTCGCCTTTATCAGTCATGCAACAGTACTATTGTAAAAATGTAACATACAAGTTCCAGCAAGGCAAAGTGGGAATAATTATTTCATTTAATTACTAATTCAAATAGTTGATATTTTTTGTTATTGTTACAGTTTAAAATAACCACAAAATTCTTTGTGAAATATTGCTGTATCGAGTGGTTCAGTTTCATCATGTGACAAATTCTAATCTTTATGTTGTGTAAAGCAGTAATTAAAAAACAATTATTGGAAAATGGAAAATGCTAAAAGCATTTACAATTTTACAATAAAGTCAATCAAGACAGTGCAAAATAAAACCTTATCTCATGAAATAAGTTGATTTAAAACTTGTACAAATAAAAAATTGGAGCATAATGCTTATCATTGTTTTAAAAGAAACATTATATAGAAATTTCCATTTCATTTAAATTTTTTCTTCATAATGTAGGAAACGCTTATCTTCTGTTTCAAGCAGCAATAGTGATGACTTGGATGGACTACTAGAATCTTCTAGAAAAAAGTTAAAGAAGATGAATGAAGTAGAGAGGCTTGCAGAGATGGAACGACAAAGGTTTGTTTAAAACTAAAGTGTTTTAAAACTTGTCTCTTACTTGATTTCTGGAATAGCAGTAGAAAGATATTATGTGTCTGTATTAATTTTTTTTGGTATAAAGCAAGACTAGAACTTTTATTCTTAAACATTCACTATTTTTAACAGTGTGCACTAAAACAAAATGTTTAAGCAGAGGTCACAGGAATTTGCTACATTACTCTTTGCTCTTCAGGCTTGCTTCGGACCATATGTTTTTTGTTGGGTGGTCAGAGCATTCACGTGTTAGTTACATTCTCTTGGTTTGCACTTTCATCATTATATGAACAATCCAAACAGGAATACACCTGTCACACTAATCAGCTGCCAGCTGCTCCTGGAGGTGGCTTGAGTGGCCTCGTTAACCCCTTACCTACTGGGGCCATTTTGTCTTTTTGTGAGGGCAAAAATCACATTTATGAATTGAAAACATTATAGAGAACTTATCTTTTATTGGATTTCAGATTTTATTTTTGAAAATAGTAGCATAACATTCAATCATTTGTCTTAAATTGTATTATTTAATGAAATTTGAAGAGAAGTTTAATAAAAAAATCCCAAAATATGTTTGAGACTATAAATAATCATCCTCTAAGAAACAAATTTTTTTTACATTTTTTCCTTGCACTTTAACACTGGACCTGCCATCTATGATTGGTATCTAAACCTTTTTCTAGTCTGTTTTCTTTATAAAACAGCGTCTGGGCGTGTTAAAGCTCAGTTGTAAAACTTTTAGCCAATCCTAGTTGAAGGTGTCAATTTCAGTACCATGTTATTCCAATCACAGTATTTCATGTTTGACAAATCATAGGATGATAAGCAATGTATGTGACGAAATGTTGTTCTCTGGATTTTACAATATAAATGTGGGTGGTGCTTATTTTAGTAACTGCCATTTTATGTAGAGATTGCATTTAGTAGAGGTCAATAGTATTTTTTATAAGCCTTAGAAAATTTACTTCTGGAAAAAACTAAATGGTATGTATGTGACTTTTATTATTCTTCTATTGTAGCTTAACTCATGCTATATCTATCGTATATCTATTTATATTAATCATTATATTGAAAAATGAACTCAAAATGTATATATGTATAGGAAATAAGTTGATCCACAAATGTTAGGGTTTCGTTGTCACCCATTGCACTGTCTCAGGTGTTGTCGTTGCTCTGGACTCTCCACCACGTTCCCTCCCTCCCCTGTTTTTTCTAGTGGAGTTTGAGAGTCATCATCACTTTCTAGTTCCAAACTGCTGGGGTGGTGGACCGTGGAGGCATTCTACTGAATGGATTAATGAAATACAAACAAACAAAATATAGAAATGATTATGAAACCATTCAACTAAGAGTGGAGCAGTGGTTTTCTGCTGGTGTAGATGGCATGATATCCTCCAATATGAAACAAAACTAAATAGGAGTGAGCCATCAAAATTACAGTTCACCCTTTTGATTGGGATCTCTCATCCTACCCACATGTGGATGTTGGTTCCTAGTGCTGGGTTTTGGATTTAGTGTAGAACCAATCACATATATCCTTTCATATGTATTACAGATCTCTGTATTCCTCCCTCATTTATATTCTTGTTACTCCATCAATGTTGTGGGTCACGGTGGAGGTACTTGCACATTATTATTACTGTGCTTGGGGCAGTTCTGGTCAATTTCAATTTTGAGGGAGATGGTTTTTATTATGCAGACATCTTTTCAATACCAGATGTCAGTTCCTGGATCAACCTATCATTTTCTTATATTAACATGTGCCCCATTCATGGATTGGGGGTTCTTTATTCCCTCAAGTCTCATGAACTTGAGGGTATGATCCTCTTTCCTACTCCCACGAGATGGCTGGGTTTTGGATTGTATTTGACTTGCCACCAGTATGATCCTCTTTCTGCCCCATTCATGGATTGGGGGTTCTTGATTCCCTCCAGACTCATCAACTTGAGAGTATGATCCTCTTTCCTACTCCCACCAGATGGCTGGGTTTTGGATTGTAGTTGACTTGCCACCAGTATGATCCTCTTTCCTACCCCCGCGTGGATGTTGGTTCCCAGCGGCTTGGCTTTTGGGTGTAGTTTGGGCGAAGAGTATACCTGGTTCAGAAATGGTGAGGTCCCCCACATCAGATCTTATAATCTGACTGTTTCATCTTAAGGAGTGTCCTTTGGATGCTTCTTTCTTTCCCTAACACCTATTCAATGTGGGATTCTAGCTATTTATGTGAGCAGAAGTAATGTAGCATATCGAAAGTTATAATTTTCCTATACTAAAAATGTATTTCTGCTCACACTTCCCACCCTTCCTCCCCACTGAACACCGGTGCTTCCATCTTCTGCCAAAACTTGATGTGATAGTTCGGTAGAATTGAACAGAGGGAGTCACAAACGTCATGAGAGACGCATTAGAATCAGTAAGTTCCAATGGAGGGAAGATAAAAAGCTTGTGGCATGTGTAATTTTTTTTGCATATAGAGGGCAGCACTGAATGAGAATAGCTATTTATGTGAGAGAAGGTAAGTACCTATCAGAAATACATTTTCAGTATAGGAAAATTATAACTTTTGAGCTTTATCAAAATACGATTACATTTTTACATAAATGAAATATCCTTTTTTATTTTCAAGGTAATTTCAACTGACACTTATTCAATTTATCCCTAATTAAAGTAATTAAACAGTTAACACGTATAATGGTATCAATTAATTTTTCAGAAAACATAACTTAATAATAAAGCAAAACATGAACGTAATAATATAAAGCATTTATTAAAGGTTTTGGAATCTTAAAAATTCCGTCATCAGTAATCTAGAGGTACACAACAAACAAAAATATGATATAATTTATAATTCATAAGTAAACTAGAAAATGAAAAGTATGTAGCATAAATGAAATAGTTAAAATATATTTAAATCAAGTGAAGAATTTGTATTATATAGAGACAGAAGAAGAGTTTTATGTACAAAGTCTCTTAAGTTCAGTATCATGCTTGGATGTTGAAAGAATTTTAAAGTTGGAATGAGAAATCAGATACCCTGTTTGTGTGTTTTGCTAGTAGATAGCAGAGTTGAGAGGGTTTGTAAGCTTTCTTCCAGTTTTATTATTAGTACATTCATATTTTGCTTTACTATAATGTTTTACTGAAATTGAAAGATTAACATCACAGAAATATTTTTGTTAGTACATTTACACATAATGATTATGTAGTTAGGTTTAATATAATCTTTTTTAGGCGACAAAAGCAGTTGGAGGCAAAGTGGGTAGAAGAAGAAACTACTAAAAGGATCGAGGAAATTGTAGAGAAGCGGGTACAAGAAGAACTACAGAAGCGTAAAGATGACATTGAAGCTGAAGTCTTAAGGAGAGTCGAAGAAGCCAAAAAAGCCATGGAGAAACAATTGTTGGAAGAAATGGAGAAGCGTCGAGAGGATGAACTTGCAGAACAGAGAAAAAAGGAGGTAATGAATCAAAATGATGCATTATATTTCAATGCATACTTGCAGAATTTCCATATCTTCGGTCAGATTAATGACAGGAAATTCATTTGTTGGTTACTAGTAACCCAATGTTACTTTTATTGAGCTGTACCTGACATATTAAATCAGCTTACAGTATAGGATATATATTAAAAAATCATAATATAAATTACTTCATTTACTTGTTCAGAATGAAACCCAATACCTAAAGAAGTTACATTTAAATATGTTTCACAGAATGTTCTACGTAAAATGAAATTAGCATGTGGGAATAATTTCAGAAATTATTTACATAATTAATCAAATAGTCCAACCAAAATTCACAGTTTTAGTTTATTTTAGGATTGAGTGGTCATATCATAAGTATCACTAATGATGTCTCATATTTGAACCTTCTTATATTTGAATATTAGCCTAAAGACTGAATTTAATTACTTTCTGTGGACAGTACTGATACAAGTCACGTGTATATTTTGGAAATTCATAATCCTGGAATGTAATTTTAGAGTATAAGTAATATTACAGTTTTTAGGATTAAAAAATTAAGGTTGAAAAGTGTGAATATCAGCCTTTTTGGATTTCACATTTGTATTCAACTTGTTTTAGTGAACTTTTGGACTGTTGTTTATGCAAAATAAAAGAAATAGTAGCTATAAATGATGAAGAATTTTAAAATATGAGTATCAAAGTGTTATAATACATCCTTTAACACTTTCGTTGCCGGCTGGGCATCTGAAAATAATTTGACACAAAATTGTTGTAATTTAATAGCCAATGATTTTCTCACGTGTCCTAACATTACTGGGCATCTGAAAATAATTTGACACAAAATTGTTGTAATTTAATAGCCAATGATTTTCTCACATGTCTTAACGTTACTGGGCATCTGAAAATAATATGACACAAAATTGTTGTAATTTAATAGCCAATGATTTTCTTATGTGTCCTAACATTACTGGGCATCTGAAAATAATTTGACACAAAATTGTTGTAATTTAATAGCCAATGATTTTTTTGTGTGTCCTAACATTGGATATATGAAAATAATGTGAATTGCTAAAGGCTTTTTTCTAAACCTTTCCCATAAGTATCCAAGTAATATCTTAATGTGGAATTTCTTTGTTCATTTTGTTTACGTTGAGGCACTAAATGAATAAAATCCCATATCAAAATGTATATAAAGTGCCTTGAATTGATTGTCAATGTGACTTCATTATAATTGCCAGAAAAAAATACAGAAATATTGTGATTAAGCCAACTTTAGAATCGAGTATGCTGGGTAGATCTTCAGTGGCTAAGCAATCTCAGCTAGTAGTAAAAAGAAGTTTTCACAAGGTTTTCTCTTAGCTGAACTGAATAAAAAATAGGATTACTTATCAAAAGAAATTGTATCGTGACAAGAAGACTAGCTTGATGTTTGTCAGTTCTTCTGAATGATAGTGAAGTTCATTCATGTCAAAATAAATAATTTGTTATTAGTCCATTCCCTAACTCTGATTTATAAATTGTTTCACCAGCGTAATCTAATTCACCATATAACAGGTATTGTTCTTGCAGTTGATGATATAAATAGCACTTAGACCACTACCGTGTCTGTTGTATCTCAGCTGGCCTGATAAGCCTTAGTATTGGGCAAAAAGTCTCATTGACACTGTATATAGCAGATATAGAGTTTTTAACATATTACATATTCGTCTTTCTTTCAAGCATACATTCTTAGATCCAATAAAGAAGCTTAAAATGCATCATTAGAAAAACTCTGGCAATGCTCTGTTTTCTTTTGGTTTTTTTTGGCAACTTTTAACTGCTAGCTTCTAAAATTGTCATTTCTTAGCATAGTATTCCTCTTAATAAGCCACATTCCCACCGGTGACGTAAGGGTTAATGAGTTTTAACTTTTTTTCAATTCTTAAAGATATCCATTATATGAACAGATTCCAAATGTAATTGAGCTCATTATTATTCTTTTTTTCAAACATCTAAACAAAGATAATATTCCTTGTTTCCTTAAAAGTATTTCTGGCAAATATGTTTGCTGTAGCAGCTTTTTCTCCTAGGTTGTAAGCACAGCAGAGATCTTCACTTTTGTCCCTGCCACGTGAGTTGTTAGTACATCAGCAATATTCCACATATCATGTGTGGTTCCTTTTGTGTTTCATGTACCACTTGACTTTAGGGTACTATTCTTCATGTTTTAGTAATATTACATTTGACAGTTACCCCTTCTTACATAATTGTGCTAAGATTCTAATAGTTAGATCAGGGACCTTGCCGAACTTGTTAGCTGTTTGAAGAGAATCAAGCGGGTAAGGAGAGACACCATTCAAGGCAAGTTTGTTATTTTAAGGTTTTCTTAGACTTAATTTTCTCTCTCTACCAAAAGTTCCCAGAGGAGTGAGTAAAATCCTTGTGATAAGCAAGTAAAGTGATCTTATCTTCTTTGTGGTAAAGAGGGGGTTATTTGGGCTTTTGTCTTAAAACTTTCCCCTCTCTGGAGTTTTTTTTTTTGTGAGCAAAGTCACCTAACAATAAGCTTGTATAATTTTGTTAAACTTATCTAGTAGCAAAAAAGGTTAATTCAAGTATGTATATAGGTCTGTAATAATATGTTGAGTTTATATACTTGAAGGAATACTATTTTAGGAACTTCATTTTCTTTAAGGGCAAGATAATTTTTTGTTTTAATAACTGATCTTATTTTATATTACTGTTGCAAACTAAGTTTCATATGATGTCTTTCTATACCTAAACTGAAGCTTCTGACTTTTATATTTATAGCATGGTATGGGAACAAAATTTTCTGTTTGAATGAAATGTTCATGATTGAATATAATTTCTTGATATTAATTCACAATACCAGTAAAAACACTTTTTGAATATGTTCTATATAAATATGAGATTGTGGGATGGGAGGGTGATTAAGTATTTAGAAGTTAATTCTGATACATATCTACATTACAGAAACAAGGAGAATGTATGGGTATTGTGTAATCTATATAGTATGTGTCATAATCACGCATGTAACTGAGTAAATTGTTCAGTGAATGACATGCTATGTTTCGAGGTGTATATGCAATTGCAGCTAATGTTGAACAGGACAAAAAAAAATATTAATTTGTATTGGCATATCAGTACATGGTTGTATGTGGTTAATAGTATGTTTAACTAATACTGACAAAGGTTACTCTCTTCTTCCATGTTTTAAATAAACTGGTTTTATTTGACTTTGATATATATATTCTGAAGAAAAAGAACCATTATATATAGGTTTAGTTCTTCCATCTTACTCAAATATACTGTTTATAATTATCAGAAAAACTTTAATTTTTTTGCTTTCCGAGAGAGCTGAAGAAAAATTCAGTTTTTGTAAGATGTAAAGATAAAAACAACACTTCTCATATTCTTTAAGATTAAAGGAAGTGGACTCAACTACGTATTTGTCACAATTGTCTTTTTGTAATCCTATTACTGTTAGACAAGAAAAACAAATGTAACCAACATAAGCAGTTAGGGTTACTTTTCATATACTAACATAAACTAATTTTTTAACTAGGCTTAAATAAACAAAACGTTCATTAGAGTAATAAAAATATATATATATTTATATATCTATTAAATACATGTAGATTTAGATTAAAGTAGAGATTTTTTAAATTCATGTGATTCTGGTAATGAGCTTCATTTCAAATGTATAAAGCTGGTAAAAATACTATTACAAGTGAAAAAAAAAATTATTACTATTTTATATGTTGATATTCACTTGTGTCTGTTCTGTACTCTTATCTAAATCTTCTTACATGATCCTATGCAAAATTTCCTGGTATAGGTAATTAAAGTTCAAGAAATATCATAAAATAACTGGTTCTAATTAGTCAAACATGCAGGAGAAAGATAGAAGCTTCAGTAATAAAGTGACTTGATGATGATTTTTTTTTAGAAGTTCCTGCCATTTCAAAAGAACTGTTTCTTGTTTCATGACCTTGCATTACCAACTAAAAATCTCATTTCTTAGGATGAAGAAAGAAAAAAACGTGAAGAAATTGAAAAAATCTTAGAAGAAAACAACAGGAAAATTGAAGAAGCTCAGAAAAAACTTGTGAGTTGAATTTTCATTTGGTAATCAAGTATTTTTCACAAAAAATGTGACGTTACCTATGATCTCTTTTTTAGATGTCAGTATTTTGAAAATTGATACATGTGGTTTTGGTTTAACATGTGTTAATCAAATGCATATCTGGTATTTGAGGACGCTGCTGTCAGATTTTTAATTTGTGTGTGTGTGTGTGTGTGTGTTTGTCAGTAGGATTTGAATAAAAGTTGGTGTACATTTGGACTATGACCCAAACTTAGAATTGATTAGTTTTTGGAGGGTCTAGAACACAGCAAGATGATGAAAATCCAAAACATCCATATCTGTTAACATTGGGACTGATTTTTCACACTATTTTTGCTCTGTAACTTAGCCAAAAATGGTCTGTGTCCATTTATAATGATAGACATGGGAACACATTTTCAAATTTTTTGAGAGCTGAATATGATCAACACTACCTGGCAGATGTATGCTCCCTACTGAGTACCCCTCTAGTTTCAGCCGTTATCTCAATAATATCTCTCAAAGTTATGCCAGCTTAGGAGATTTAGGTTGGTCCTTAATACAAATTTTAAGCTAACAATACAAAACAGTCTTTATAATAAAGAAAAAGTAATGACATTTGCAATACTAACTAGTATACTTAAGCCACTCCTACGTATAATGTTAGAGGTGAGTCACATCAGTGGCAATTTAAACCATGTACAGTTAGTAGCAGTAATTTCTCCATAGTATAACCAAAATTAATGTTTATGAAGATACAAAATAATAAAAAATATAATAATACCTGAACAGATCGTGATGAGAAGAAAACAACATAATATGTAGTGTTTATAAAAACTTTTATCACCAGTCTTACTTTATCTATTCTCTGTAACAAACATGTAGAGCTGGCTGTAGGAAGTAATAAATAATGTTAAATATTCCAAAAAAGGAAAGATGAGAAGCCTCTACATAAATAATAATATGTAGTAAGGAAATATACTTTCTTTGACTAATGCATTTAGTGAATATCAAATTGTTGATATATATATATGTGGATTTTTTATTTCATAATTTTTTATCGATAGCAAAAAATTTCAATGTAAATGTAAAAATATAATTTTTGTCATAATTTTTATTGAATTAATATACTAAACTGTACTTTCTAGGTTGGGTTATGATATTTACTAGCACCAGATATGCAAGTCTCATTAAATCTTTTTGTAGACACTACAGCAGAAAACTTAACATAGTCTCCTTGTACAATATAGTAGTGTTGCTTAAAAAAACAATGTGCTTTCAGGCAGAAGAGAGGTTAGCAATGGTGGAAGAACAACGCAGAATTGAAGAAGAGCGTCAGAGGCTACAGAAAGAACAAGAGAAGAAAGTAAAGCAGGATCAACAAGTTATTCTGAATAAAGGAAAAATTAGGCCAAGACTAACATTTTCATTAAAACCCACCTGAATTTCTGTTGATTGTTTTTACAGAATCAAGGATTATACTCTTCAGTGGATCAAAAACCCATAAACGACTTCTTGCTATGCCCTGTTCAATTTTTTCAGTAGACAAGGTAAAATATGCAGGATAAGAAAGGTGGTTATTTTAAATGTGTAACATTTTGTATAGTACAGTACTGTATCAAAATCAGTTTGGTTTAAGGTGTAATGAACTGTAAATAAAGGTTATGTTTGCTAATGTGAATATATGTATGCCCTGTCAACATAAAACTGGGTGTCATTACTATGACTTACGTATAAATTTTCTTTAGTTTTTTAGGACAAATGGCTGCATTAAAAGCATATATTGGGCTATAAATAGTTGTGATTCTTACTCATTAAAACATAAAAGGTACTTATTGGTTATATTGCAGTAACCATTTTCAGGTTTAATCATACTGCTTCATTGACATTACATTTTGAATAAACCTAGCTCATGGTTACATCATAATGATGGTCATCACACTTTAATATTGTTTTCTTCGTGTTAAATCTTCAGTAAAATGGGCTTTAAGTTATGTCTTCTTCAGCCTTAATAATAATTTCTTTTATCATATAAGTTTCTTTTATATTGAAGTTTCAACAAAAGGATTTTGCTGCTATAGTAAAGTAGCTGTTAGGTTTAGCAGTAATCCTTCCTTCATCAAAAATTCAGGAAAGTAAACTTTCACCAAAGTTGTTGTGATTCTCTTTAACCTTACTAATATTTTGCTAACCATGTTAAAATTTTAAATGCTGAAGTAGCTGTTTCAGGCATAAGTTAATTTTAACTTGCAGGAATCCTCTATCAGTTTCCCCTCCCCTTTTTTTTTAGTGTATTCCCAAACAAAAGTGTTACTTTCTCCTCTTGGCGAGTAAGATACTTTCAGAATTCACCAGGAATGGAATGAGTTATTTTAATGGTGTTTACCTTTCAATCTTGTAGTGCTTAACAGTAATGTTGTCTTTATGTTTCACTTTCTTATACTGTGCTGTTTTTTTATTACTATTATTTTCACCCTTTTAAAATTACAAATTCTGTTCAGAAAAAAGTGTGCACTAAATCAGGAGAAATATTTTTTACCTTTATTTCATTAAAGAGTTTAAACCTATGCAATTGCTTCTTGATAATGTCTTGTAAATTCCAAACCAAATTCTGTATAAGAAACAGTGCATTTCACAATATACAGAGTTAATAAACCTTTTCAAACCTAAAATACAAGCACTTTTCTATGACTTCAAGATATTTTCCATGTCCTTGCTTTCAGGAATGGAATACACTAAACATGGAACATTTCATGCATGAGCAAACATAAATATTTGTATGACATACTCAACTTTTACCTATACAAAAGCATTTACAGAAGTGAAATCACACTTGTAAAGGTGTGTGAATACATTGATTAATCTTTTTTTTTTTAGTTAGCACATAACACTTTATTGGAACTCCATAAAGAATATACATCCCTGATACCTGTATTTCAAAATTAAAGTATCATTTATGTACATCACATTATAACTGCATGATATAAGAGAGCAACCATCTACCTCATCAGTAACAGCATTTCTTTTTGATTTTCCTTGGCTGGTACTTTTGTCTTTCCATTTTCAACTCCTATCTCCTTATTTACACCAATTCCCCTTTCCACATTTGCTTGATCAAGTGTGAGAATAAACAGCTGCTGAACAAACCATATTCTACTGTTCTGTAAAGTAGCCTGTGTACTCTGTGTTTACCATTATGTGAAATAACACTTCTGAAATAGCCAAATCATCCTTACAGTAACACCCAGGAACTTTCTGTATTCTCTCACAAATACTAAGTTTGATTTTACAAGATTTAGTGTTAAAGACTTGCATATATAATTGATTTAGTTTTCAACTAATTGTGATGTGTCTTGCTGTCTTTTTAGTTATAATTTTTGTATTGAAGGTTGAAGCAAGAAACTGATGTTATCAGTTCCTGTAATTGTACCATTATCTAAGATGTTTTTTGTCAGTACCACATTCAAAAATGTATTAAAAAAATAAAATATGCTTACAAGCTAATTTTGTTTTTCGTGGGGGGAGGGGATTTGCGAGTTTCTCCATAGTTTTATGTATTTTTCAAAATTTTTTGGACTCCACACTTTCAGTATGCTTCATGAAATGGTCCATATATTTGGTGTATCATGTGAACATTATGTGAAGTTGTTTTTACAAGGAACTTAGGTGTATAAACTTTGGCACTGTGTGATGAATTTAGTCATGTCACAATAGTCTTTCAAAAAAGTTTTTTTACCATTACTATAAGCACCAATTTTCCTTTTAATATTGTGTGCTACTATTTAAGAGAAACAGCACTTTTTTGCAAAGCATTATAAATACCTATCAGAAGACTTGCTCAGCACTGATAGGGTTAAAGTACTGAAGCAAAAAGTAATTTCTTGTACAAGTACTTTTTAGAGAATAGTCTTATAAAAATACCCATTTTACAAAGCAAAATTCAAGCACTTTCTGAAAATCTCACAAATCTTGTGTAACACATTGCATTAGAAAGAAATAATAAACCGCAAAAACAAAAAATCAATCGTACTCGTGAGATATAAACATGTAGTTGCACATTAAGCAGAATACTTTTACTTTTGGCACTAGTGTAGAAATGTTGACAGTTCTCCAAGAAAAGATTTTAATATAAGTAAAAAAAACTTTTTTTTTGCTTAATGTACATATATTCAATAAATATACTGAACTATTTTCCGACTTTAGAGTTGTAATGGAGGTTATATTCTACAAAGATTTGCCTCCTAATAGTTCAGCAGTAAGTTTGAGGGCTTATAACACTAAACATTGGGTAAAGGGCAGAGCACAGATAGCTCTTGTTGTTTTGTGCTTAACATTGACAGCAATATATGTAATTTAGGACCATACAGGGAAGCTGACATGAATGGTACCATACATTTAAAATGTATGCTTGAAAAGTTAAAAGTGAATAAATCTTTTAGTATTTCTACATACAGACCTTTCATCATTCGATGCAGTAAGAATGGGGCATTTGACTGAAACTTAGTACTATCGACATGACATGTTGACACTGAATAAAAATTGGTGATTGTATTTGTAAATTAGTTTATTAAACTAGAATATGTAGTACTACTAAGAATAAAATTTTTGCAGTGAATTTTATGTTTGTTGCATTCATATTTATCTTCTTTGCTTTTGTGAGCAGCAATCAGTAGCATACTGGAGTATATTTTGAAATATCATACTTTGTTGACTATTAGAAATGTGTTCTGGTTAAAGACAATAAACTATGCTTTCCTTCATGATTTAGTTGTAATTTTTTAAAACAAAGTTTAACAGATAACAAAGACCAGTAACTATATTACAATATGGAACAGTCAGTTTTGAAGGCATTGCCCTCCAATTTACTATACATATTTTAACTAGCATGTTTAGTCATTGGAAGTCAAAATTATTAAATTAAAGTATTTTATTTACATTGTACTTTCCAGAGCTACTTCAATTAAAAGCCTTGATTGACAAAGAACGCCACCATCTTTAGGTTGTTAATTTTATTCTATTTTGGGAGTATTTTGCATTATGTTGACAAGTATAAACTAATAGTTTTCCTGTTTCTGTGTGATCAAACCAGTTTCTAATTTTTTTTCTTGCTTTACTGCTTGAGGTTATTGTAATCAGTCATAGGGTTGCTTGAATCTGTCATTTCCTTTGTTTGGGAATGACTCACTAATGCACTTGCTCAATTACACACTGTCCTGCACTGCTGTGTATGCCATTGTTATTTTGTTTACAGTCTGGTGAATCAAAATTAGCACTTTTAAAAGTTGGAACAATCTTTTAAATACTTTGTGATGCCCTAATTATTAGGGTGGCTACATCAATTCTAGCCATTCTCAATACATGCAGCATTATTTTCCTTATTGTATATTTATCATCACTGATAAAATATACAATAAGGAAAACAATACTGCTTGTTGAAACAATTGTGCAACAATATATATTTTTTTAGAACTTATGGACAAACAAAGCTGTCCATCTTGTTTACGTCTTCCACTAGTGTTATATTCACCCTATGTGCACATATGGGGTCAAAGTGCACCATTCAACATTTAGGAGGTTCTAGAGGTTATTTATGTAAATGAATTTAAAAAACTTTTTTTTTTTTTCATGTACACCAAGGTTTTAGTCACTAAACGTCAATTTGATAAGCTCTTAAAGTATAAATAAGAAAAAAAATTAATATTTTTTTATTTCTATTACCATTTCTTATAAAATGCTTAAATTTTGTTACAAGATAATACAGGTCTGAATAGTTTTTCATACTTATAATAATAATAATACTCATGCCCAAAAAACATTTTTTTACATAGTGGTATCTACAAGATGGCTAAACTATTATTAAATACATTGAATGAACAGATTTGAATTTTTTCAATAATTCATAAATGAAAGATTGTACATATTCTAATTTTAATTAGACAATTGTGAATGTCGTAAGAGAAGAACAACACAAGTTCTACAGTTCACCCAGCTAAACAATTATTCTATTACTTTCTCACTGACTGGCTTCTCAGTTCCTTCATTAGTATTGGGTTTTCCAATTTCTGCAGGATTAATGGTGACAGATTTGGTACAATTATAAGTCTTGTAAATTCCTACAAGTCTGTCTGCTAGTTCAAACATGTTGTTTCTCAGAGAGATGATAATAAATTGAGCATTTTTGGTTCGTTCCTGTGGAAAGTTGAAAAGAGGAAAATATTCACTTTTAGCATACAAACTTTTTAGTTCAGAGAGTTGCAGGTAATTATATAGTTGATTTATTTCTATTAATGGTACATTAATCTTATCAGTATTTCACATTACAAATATTAATAAAGCCAAATATTAACTTCTAACATGGATTGAATTAAAGCCTGTTTTAATCACCTAGAGAAAAAAACAGCAAACATAATTCAATAAGCATTACTTATAATTAAAAGTCCTGAACTAAAAGAATGTAATGCTTTTATTGTTGTGGAGCTAAAATAGTAATTTCCAAAAAGACAATATTTAAGTAAATGCTTGAATTTTTGAGGAGTGTTATATCAAAACCCATCATTTTACAGTTAAAAAGGTAGCAGGATTCTTGACCAGATTTAAAGTGAATTAGCCATAAAATTTACATTTACTGGTAATCAAGTAATGGAGGTTCTAAAATTTAGCTTGGTTGCTAACAAAACAGAATAACATTAAGTTTATATCAGATCAATATTGCATATATCCAAATATTTCTTGCTGTACTCCTTGTCGAGTACAGAGTTTTAGACTTAAAATTTGAAGTATTATATGTAAAACTTAGGAAAAAAGCTAACTTCTAAGTAAGTTTTATTGGTAGTCTTATAAAAACTACAAAGTGCTCAAGTCATTAATAATAAACATATTTTGTATATATTATTACGTACTAGTTTTATTATTTATAAGTGTTAAAGGATCAAAAAACTTAAAGAATGCATCAATATTTGATTTTGAAATTAGACTAGTGTTAATGCCAAAAAAACAAAAGTGTGTAGTGTTCTCTATCATGCAAGAAAATTAAAAATACTGGATCTTCAGCTTTACCTTTATATAGTGTGCCACAATGGAGACATTTTTAAAGTCCAGTGCAGCATCAATTTCATCCATGACATATAAAGGAGTGGGCTTGTAATAGTGAAGGGCAAAAACTAAAGCAAGGGAACTGAGCGTTTTCTCACCACCAGACAAGTTGGAAATGTTCTTCCAAGATTTTTTTGGAGGACGAACGCTGAAAGTGGCCAAAAAGTGATAAAAATTATAGTGAAATAATATGAATACTACAACTTATAATATTTTTTATTACATAACTCACAATAGAATTTTAAAGTCCAAAAAGGTTATGATTAAGTATGTGTATGTTATTTCAATTCCCTCTTTAGGTACAGTAGAAAGAACTGATATACAAGAAACAAAATATTATTATATCAATACTTAGCATCACTTCTTTTTTTACATGTACATAAGCTACAGGTTTTACAGATAATAATTTACAACAAACTCAAATATAAAAATTACAATACTGCAATAATAGAAGAGAATTAGGTATCTGTTTAACCTTCAAAGCAATGGAATGAAAGAAAATGGATTTTAGCCTACCCTGATTAAGGCTGGGATTTGCTGTTCTAAAAGCTAAAATACCAGATTTATAGCCTCATCCAGACTAATCTTCACCCCAACAGATTTCAGAGGTATTATAATCTTAAACTAAGTGTCAACATAATAGATAAAGATGCTAAATATTATCTAACTATGAGTATTGTCCAAAATCTCTAACGTCAAGGCTGAACTATCAAAACCCCAGTATCATACAGGACACTCCCCACCATAACAATCATGAGGGAATTTTCAAAACCAAAATATGAACTCCTGACTGTCAAAATTGACAGAATGAAACCATTAAAATATTTATCAAGTAACATTTTATACTTTTTTTCAGTATTCATTTTAAACCTTTGGATTTCAGTGACACAAAATATACAAGTTATTTTATCAAAATTAAACTATATATGATATATCTTAATGTAATTCAAAAAATATTTCAGACTACATTTTGGACATTATGTTTTCTGATTAAATTCAAAGTATGAACAAGAATTACAAACAGTACTTTTCGTAGATCTGTTTCTGAATTCATAATTTTGCTTTGCAAGGCTTCCAAAATCAATTATTTATCCTTGTTTAACTATTTTTCTAAACCAGGTAAAATACAAAGATAATGTTTGTCAATGATGCTCAAAATTTTCAATAAAATTAATTCAAATCAGCTTTTTTTAAATTAAATATTCCAAAAGATATGATGAGTCAAACAATATCCCACTGAATCTTTAACAATGAAACGATGCTTCTAAAAAATCCGTTAACATGTATATATAACCTAAACAATGGAAGCTGAAAAAGTTAACAAGTTCACCTCAGGGTTTTTAAAGTGCCATTTGATTAACCTACCTGAAAACAATACCCTCTGAGAATGGATCCAGTGAATCAACAAGTTCAAGTTCCGCATCTCCCCCTAAAGTTATCATTTGGTACATTTCCTTCAGCTTGGTGGTGATGATAGAAAAACCAGTCATAAAATCATTTAGACGCTGTTTCCGCAGGTCATCATGGTGCCTGCGCTGAGTATCCCGTAGTTCTGTAACCGCATCTAGTTCTGCCACTCTTTCTAGGTAGAGAGCTTCCTGTAAAATATCAAATTCAACTATCTGAAACAAATTATCACAGTATTGCATCTATTCAGAAAGTAAAAAAAAATATATGTGATTGAAGTATGAATATTAAAGCTACTAAACAAACCAAATAATTCACAAGTCTATTAACCAATAAGAATGGTTTTGTTTGAAAACCATTATGTTTTAGCTCTTCATCTGATGCCAATGGCTGACAAGTGGCATGCAGTGTGTTGTTCAAACCAGGGGTTTTCCTAGTGTACAGTTGATTACAAATTCTACACCTGTAAAAATATTTGTGCAGTTGGAAATTCACCTTTAACAATGAAATGATGCTTCTGTTTCTGAATTCATAATTTTCCTTTGCATGGTGGATGGGTAAATTTAGGTCATTAATCCTCGAACAAGTTCAAGTGGGTAAATATCAAAAAACGTATTTAAGATTATAAAATTTCATTCCAGAGTTGATAAATAAATGTGTTTACTAGAATATTCTTTATTTTTGGGATCATTTGTTACTATATATAGTTTAACTGCAGAATCACTTTTTATCTGACATTTTCAATTAGCCACTTTAATAGATATTCTCTTTTGGACATTTAACCCCTGAATGTCTTACTAGGGTTATCAAAGATGTTATAATCTTGAAAATATACTAGATACAAGGTAGACATACAGCATTTAACATAGCTATGAAAACAGAGGACAAAGTGGGTATATAGTTCAAATTACATATGATATAGTAATATTTTTTGTGTAAACATGGTGCCTAATGCAGTGTTGTGTTGAGATGGCACAATGTGATAGGGTGTCAAACAACCAATCTGAAAGTGCCAAACCAGCACAAGGGCTATATAAGAAGTGATATGACTGTACAGTTTGAAATTTGTGATGAGCACAATGGCTCCTGGAAAGGAAATTGCACATGAAAGGCATATGGAAACCAAATTTTAAGGCTACTCCTATTGACAAATCACAGCCCAACTTCACCCAGTGCTATATGCAAGACTCTGAAGGCAGTTTGTTCGAGGATGAACTGGAAAGCTTCATCACAGTCAGTGTACAATTATGAAGCTATATCTCAGCCAGTGGTGTCGGGTACTTATATAAAATTGAAGATATTGTTACGACAGCAGAAGTCACGTGCCGCTGGTAACACGTCATGAGTTTCTAGAAAGATCGGGGACCATCACGAATATCCCAGTATTTGCTAGACGCTCTCTATTTTTGTATATAAGCCCAGCGGAGAAGGGAGGGCATAGATAATTGCAGACAGGGAGATATAGAGACGGATGATCAAGTCAAGTGAGTGGAAGTGACTGTAAGAAAAGTGCATGAATCATTGTGAATTAAAGCGTGTGTTTAAGTTAAAGTGAATGTGGAAATTCTGTGTATTATAATGTTGCATCGAGAAACAATAAAATAGAAAAAAGAAGCACTTCTAATTCGTAACATACCACTTAAGCTGAACAATGAGCTATCCACATCACTGCATCTCAAACTATGATCAACTCATCATGCCTGAGATGGACAAAAAGTAAAAACTTCATACAACAAACAGTCATTATCATTTGGCATAGTTGGAAAGTATTCCCTGAATGCTGTGCAAAGTCCTTTTAGGTGTGCAGTTATGTTGATTTTAGTGTCAGTCATCTGACCAAAGTTCATTTTCTGCCAAGAAGTCGGGAAGAGTACCAAAACACTCAGTTTGGTTGTTTTCTAAGCGCCTTTCCCAAAACTGCAATTTCTTTATCATAGATTCATCTCATTCTTACATATTGAAAACTCTTATATTGAGTCGTCGAGATAAATTTAGGTCATTAATCCTCGAGAAAATGTCTGCTAAATAAGCTAGACTCTGAAGCCAGACATGATTTTCAATATAGCTGACAAAGTGGAAGGGGTGGCTGGTAAAAATAACTATGATTTAAGCTGTAAGGTCAACAGATAATTGTGTACACCACCCATTCCTTCACATAGTGCTCGAAATATTCTGGAATTTGTTGGCCATGATTTTATGAAATTCACTATTATCACTGCATTGTCCAGCACTTCCTTCAGACCATCAGACATGCATTTTGCCACAAGAGTTTGTCTACGGATATTACACAAGTCCAAGAAATGTTTGATGCAACCTTTTTGTTCGAGCTACAAATTTGGTATACTTACAACTCACTGGCGTGGCCCCATCAGTGCAGATGCCTAAGGCAGTGAGATCAATCTATTTCAGTTTCTTGAAAATATGTATTAGTCAGATTGAAGATATCTTCTTCAACTGTACATTCTTTCAATGGATGACAAAATAATAAGTCTTCTTCAACCGTACATTCACTCACATAACATACAAACAGTAGCAAAATATTGACTATACATTCACTCACGTAACATACACACAGTAGCAAAATATTGACTATACATTCACTCACGTAACATACACACAGTAGCAAAATATTGACTATACATTCACTCACATAACATACACACAGTAGCAAAATATTGATTATACATTCACTCACATAACATACAAACAGTAGCAAAATACTGACTATACATTCACTCACATAACATACAAACAGTAGCAAAATATTGACTCTACATTCACTCACATAACATACAAACAGCAAAATATTGATTATACATTCACTCACATAACATACAAACAGTAGCAAAATATTGACTATACATTCACTCTGTAAAATTGTGGTCTCTACATTACTTGACATGTCATTAATTCTCCATGACAATGTATTATTGGACAAAGGTACCACCATCAATCTTTTTTTGCAGCCTTTTCTCCAAACATGCACTGAATTAAGTCTTTTATACATGGACCAATCAAGCTCTCTGTTATGGTATGGGCTTCTGAAACTTTTGCTACTCAGTAGCTCACTTGGTACAATGCTTCAGGTGCGTTTTTGCTCTCAGTACAAAACTGGTAATGTCACTTTTCCACTCGATTGATGTTTTGCTTGAAAAAATCAACAGGTTTGTCAAGTTGTGTGGGGTACCTAGTTTCTAAGTGATACCGATGTAGAGAAAATTTGAGGCTGCTATTTGCCAGAACATCACCACAAATTAAAACTACACACCATTGTTTTGGACACTCTTGATCACCAATGCACGTAAAGCCATATATCATATAATTGTCATCATATTTTCTTTACCTAATAAACAACTTTCCTGGACCATCTTAATCATTTGACTTAGATGTTTTACACTTTGGATCTCACAAAACACTAGTTGATGTTGACTGTTCCTTTTCACATGTCTTTACATTTCCTGTTGTCCATTATTTGGTGTAAAACAGTTAATATTAAAAACAACAACACTGAGAATGACTGAGTAATGACTAACTGCAATGACTTTGATTCCAATCCTCATGGCACCAAAATAGTTTTTTGTTGTGACAATGTTGCTTTTATTAGGCTTGCATTTCCGTAATTATGTTTAATTAATTATTTATGTATATGTCAAATTAATTGTGCCAGCATTGTGTGCCAATTCCTTCATACTTTAATATATACAATGATATATCTATAAAAGCGCAATTATAATGACCTAGTACACACATATTGTATCTTGTTCTTGATATTTATTTTCTCACATCCTTTGTTGGCACATTAAGGATACTTAAAATAAGACCCAAAACTCGAGCGCTTTCGAATAGTTGACTATTCTTCTT